ATGTGTGTCAGGCACAGAGATGGCTCCATGATGTGTTTAGCCTAGCTTAGCAGGGATAAACTGCTAGCCTAACTCTAAGAAAAGTGTACATTTTATTTTTATTTATTTAACAACAAGGCGAAGTTGGTTGTGTTAGTTACTTGCTTGCTGGCTAACATGATAACAGCTTTGCAGGTGTAAAAGGTTGTTTTTTCCTTGTTTCCCCTTGTGTTCAGTTTAACTTTGCTAATGTCCCAGTTATGTCATGTCATTCACATCAACCATCAAACAATTACAAAAGGGAAACTATGTATTTTCTTTTCTGAAAGCTCTGATATGCCTGACTTGGAAAAAATAAAACGGAAGTGCCTGAAAGAGAGAATAAATATAGATGCTAAAGTTTGTCATTAAAGTGATTAAATACACTTGAGTGATGGGAGAACACAGTGAGACCTGCTGCCGTCAACGTGAATGCTGACAGGTCGTAAATACTGGGAACCTTTCCCAACGTTACCTTCTGTCCCACAGGACATAAACGCAACATAAGCTAGGATAACCACTTTCAGAACTATCTTTGTTCTGTGATGGAACTGAAATTAGGAATTTGACAGCAAACAGCTGTATTTCCCCAAATAGTCTGTAATGTTCTTTCAAGCAAAGCCACAGGACTTGCTCTGCGAACTCACCAGTCATTAACATCTGTCCCATCTGTTGAAGGAGAAGGACTTCATATCAGCTATGTGATTGGTGGAGTTCTGACCATCCTGGCCATCCTGATCCTCATTGCTGCTTTGATCATTTACAGGTCAGTCCCGTTTCTTTATTTTCTTGCGTCCTGGTCAAACACAGAGAGTCTGATTACACACATTTGATACACAGCAGATAGTTTAATTTGTAACCAATGTGCTGCTTTCTTCCTGTTTTTGACTGACAGACATAAAAAGTCAAAGTTTGCTGACCCGGGAGTGAGCAACCTGACCTACAGCAACCCCTCGTACCGGACGTCCACACAAGAGGTCAAGATCGAGGCGTCACAAAAACCTCCAATATACAACCAGCTTCGATATAAGAAAGAGGTAACGTACAGGCTGGAATAGAAAATAACAAACGCTTTTAGTTTAACAGATGAATGGATTAAAGGTGAATCCATGATATTTCCATAGAATGTGCAGGTGTATGGTGGGTAACCTCAGAGACAAATGACTGTACTGTTTGTCTCCGGTCAGATTGATTGTGTTGAAATACTGTAACATGTGACCCGAGCAGGTTACAGACATCAGCACTCATATTTTCTTCCCCCTCTCTCTCCTCACTGCAGCTCTCTCATCCCTACAACTCCCTCTCTCCCTTTATCTTTTGACCCACTTGTCCCGTGGAGAGGTAGTTACACAGCATGAAGGAGTTATGTCCTATCCAGCTCGGTTTTCTCTGACTTGTCTTCTGCAGTTTTTTTTTTTTTTGCTTAATTTTCTCTGTCTTTCACTGCATGCAACCTGCTTTCCAAAATTAATAATGTCTCTCTTTGGTGCAGTTTCAGAGCTCTGTGATCAGTCGCATGTCAGTGTTTATACTACTTATCGGGGTTTTTTTGTAAACTGACATTTAAACAGGCCAGGAATCTAAATGGAGGGATGGATTCCGCTAACGGTGCTACATGTATCATCATTAAACATTATTATATTATTCTCAAACGAATAGTGACACCTTGATATATATACTAATAACTATAAACATCTAGGAGCAGAGTTGATAGCTGCTTTGTCAAAACTGTAATGTAACTGATAGCATCTTTCAGTCACAAAACAGCTTTTCCCATAAATCCTGCCACTTCCTGCTGTAGGTAAGAATAATTATAGAAGTTCAGAATGTCTGTTTTCTGTTTCATTTTATCATTATGAGTTTTGTATATAACGCTAAACCCATTGAACCAGATGTAAAAAAACTCCTTTAAAATACAGAAAACTTTATTTCTGGACTGCTTGTAAAAAGAACAAGCAGCAGTTTCAGGTAAGCACACTGACACCGAGTGATGCAAGCCAAACTGCTTCGGGTCACTTTGCTGTTTCAGTAGTTGCGCCACGCTTACTGTATGTACTTTTTCATGCTGGAGATTAAGAAACGGTGTCCAAATTATTCCTTCTACAAGAGACTGAATAATTTGGCTACGAGTGTTATACACAGCACTGTAGCATAAGTCCATTTGCTCTGGAAAAATAATGCCATCTCCCTGTTTTTTGTGCCATAAAGCAGTCCAATGGATTTCACTCCAATGCTGATAGCCTGGTGTTTGGCTTTATTTGTAAATCTATACTTGTAGCACCTTAACCTAAATATTAAAAACTAACTGAAGCGCAGCATTACTAAAAGGAGCCAACGTGCTGAGCATGGGTTGTGTTTCAAGGTGACATCTTGCTCTGGAGTGTTGTGCAGTTGGCCGCTGATTAATCCTTTAAGGGAAATCCACCTTTAACAGGTTGAAAATGCTGGTGATGTTTGTGTAGCCGGTTTATTATCAATAAATTGTAATTATTCTTTGAAAGGATGAAAGGGTTAAGAAAGAAAGAAAGAAAGAAAGAAAGAAATGTAGAAGAGTGCATGTAACAAAGGAATAAAGGAGAGCCAGGCCATCTGTCATACCTCGGTAGGTTGTTGTAAGTGAGCTGAACACTGAACACATTTCATTACAAATTGATTCCTAGAAAGTCTTTAGTTTAACAGATTGAAGAGTACCTGAGGGTGGATTTTCCCGTTAAACTCCTGATATAGAGGCCATCGCTCTGACTAATTAATCCTGTCTCGTTGTCCAGGGGGGAGTGGACGGAGGCTACACCAAGGAGAAGATCCGCATTGTGGAGGGCGTGTGTCTCCTCTCCAATGAGGAGCTTTACTGGGATGACCTAAAACAGATCAAGCCGTCTCGAGGCGGCCTGCACACCTGCATGCGCACAGACACCGTGTCCCTGCAGGCCAGCAGTGCTTCGCTAGACGATGGCGAGACGGAGCAGCTCCTCCAGGAGGAGGTGTCCGAATGCTCCTCCATAACCACCCTGACCCCTTCAGCCATCACCCCGCAGCGCCACGCCCAGCACAGCCTGCCCGACACCGGCTGGGCTTCCACGCGCAAGCCCTCCACCGAGAGCAAGTGTGAGGGAGGCCCCCTCCCCTCCCGCGCCGCCCGTGGCTTTATCTCAACCTCAGTTACCTAATAAACACATGCAACTCACACCTGTATTTATGCTGGTGACAGACACACAAGGAGAAATAGACAAATCAGTAAAAAGACATACGTAGTTATAGGTTACGGTAAATATGAACCGTAACGACTAAACTCCTATAAACACAACTCCTGTCTCTGAAACTGGGGCTCCGTCCTACTTGTGCCCACACACACACACGCAGTACAGTCCTCCAACAGTACCCTCAGTGCTAATGCCTTTAGGCAAAATGATAAACTAATGAGCATGCTGGAATAAGAAAGCAAAGGACCCTGGGGAGGAAGTGAACAGAGAGACACAAGCGTTATCTGGAGCCTTTTTAAAGGATGCAGACTCTTAATGCGCTTCTCTGTGTGCAACTTCACCTTTATTTTTGTGAACTTTTCTTTTTTGTTGTTGGACGAAGCTAAAATGACATACTCCCTGGACGATGTAACCACGATGCTCTCTCTAATGCCACTCATGTCTTTATGAACTCTATTTATGAACGTTTTTGTACTTGTGGAGTGGGTTTGCTGACTTTCTGAGAATGGTGAGAGTGTTGTGTTAGAACTTTGTGCAGCAGGACCCGGGTATTCAAGAGTTGTATTTATGACAGTGCCAAAGGGTGGGGCTTCACAGAGTCTCCATGCTTCTTTCTGCATTTACACTTCATTAGAAATGTATCTTAATTACGGGATGTTTATTTCGTTTGACTTTACCGACTTGCCCCCAACGGTGGGAGACCTCAGTGATGACACCACCTGCATCTGATTCCTTATTTTACAGCCTCCAACAGGTCAAGCAAGGACTTACTGTGGCTGGTACTGTCAGTTGGTTGCAGAAGTCTGTTCATCCTCGACAAAAGTAACCTGAAAGGAGCCTTTTGTTTTTTGTTTTTTCCTTCAATCAACCATTGCTGATCCTCTGGCATAGCGGAGGAAGCCACGATGAAGTAACAGCCTAAGTGCCAAACATTTTGTTCTTTTTCCTCCTTCAGCTGTATATTTATTTTTCTCAGAGGTTTTAAAATGTTCGTGACATTCGTTTTACTTGGGTTTGGTCACCCAAATCACAGAAAAACATATTTTCTCAGACATGGGCTATTCAGCCATGCAGATAGTGTTGGTTTTATTTACCCAGGTGTTAGATATATGTCTCTGGGATTTCTTCTGCCCACAAACACTGGGGTTTTCTTTGGAACTACTTTCTCAATGTACTCTGTCATTGAGTGTTTCTGTCATTGTTCCTGGGGTTTGCTATTCAGGTAAATGATCTACGACAGCACTTACTATTCGAATTTGAAGCTCTTTGATTTTACCGAGATCAACAGCAATTCTTTTTTAGAGATAAAAAAATTAATAAAATAGCTCCCTTTAATTATTTTCATGTATTTTACATTATCATCACCAGTGCTCCCTTATCATGCTGTCCAACCTCATTCTCTGCTAATGTTATCTCCATTCTGTCCTCCCTGTCCATTCTTATATTGCCACTTTGACACACAACGGTCTTAGACTTATGTGAAAATGTGCTTTCTTTTAAAGGCTGCTACAAACAGAAATATTGAATATAAACAATGTTACATAGTTTTTGAAAAACAATTACCATCCCCATTTTAGCAAATTGACTAAACTCAACAAAATAATTTTTGAGGTGTTATCCTATAAGGTTAGATTTTTACATATCTGAGTCTCTAAAGATGTCAATGTGATTTTGAATGAGATTTTCTTACTCATGGAGCATAATCACAAAAGTCCCAGCTTCACTGCGGCTCTCTATTGTATTGGGGTAGTAACAAGTTTCAGAGGCGAATATATCAAAGACTTGGCACATACAACCAAAAGTATCTGCGTGGCCAAACTCTGCTAGAGGTAAATGAGAACATTTGTTCTTTTTGTAATTTGAGTTTTGATCCATCAACTCTAAATCTGTAACGCAAATGTGTACTCGCAGTGTGCGCACAGTATCTGCCACAGTACAGTATAACAAATGGGTAACTTAGGAACACTGTGCATGTCTGACCCCATCAGACAGTGAGGGTTATAGTTTAGAAATATATCACTGACAACGTACTGAAAAATGAATTTAATACAAGTAAAGATATTATGCATTGCTTTAACTTTAGAGTACCATTCTGTCTGTTGTTGAAATATGGTACATGGAAATATTATATTGCTATATTGACAAATATATCGGTTAGACTTTACAGAACCATGTATTTTGAAGTATCTGCTACAAGCTCAGCAACTTGCTGATTTGCTGCTAGACGAAGCACTGAGGCCAATGAAAGAGGGTCTTGGCAGCTACATAACTACGGTCTCTGACGGTTGGTTGACAGTAGGCCTACAGAGCATCACAGCGACCCAGTAACCAATCATCCTGGCTCACAGTCCCTCCAACTCTGCTGCAGGAATGCTAAAACTGTACAGATTTTATCATGAGGATATAAGCAAACATTTCTGTTGAAGATATTGCATTGATTAAGTTGTATAGTCTTTTGTACAAAGGGATTTCATGACCGTTTTTAGACTTGTATTAATTTTACTCACTGGAGAAGAACTTTTTTTTTGTTTTTGCTGGATTATTTTAACCACTGTGTTTCCAAGCCTTGTAAATGATAGGGAATATGCCAGTTATTTAATAGTGCTCTTTTATCTTATGAAATACTGGTCGCGTATAGCTGTTGTAAAGTTAACAAAAAGAGGTATTTATGATTTCTGTTTGGTTGTCACTTGATGTGTAAATATGAAAAGACTGTATATGTATTTCCATGGCAGTACTAACAAGCTGTGTTGTGTGATATAGTGAATTATCCCTTTGCTATCTTTTAATATAAAATTGCATTTGCATTTCAATGAAACTTTTGGCTCGCTCGTGTATTTGCATAATTGCTCTTAGACGAATGCCTTCCTCATCAGTGATCATATAGCAATGAAGGAAACTCAGATGTAACAATGGGAACAAAGATATAACCAGAATCAGGGTTCAGGAGGCATGAAGCCAAGTCATGTAACATAATTCTTTTTGTTATTATTTAAAGAAAGAATCAGTTTGGATCATGTCAGTTATAGGTATCACATGGTATATAACTGAGTTTGGCTTTAAGTCAATTCACATTTCTATGAAGCTCAAAATCATACATTTGTCCTAAAGGGTTTCTGTTAAACACTGCCCTCTGTTCTTTATCCAAATCAAGGGTCTAAGAATAAAGAGGAGTGAACACTTAGAGCAACAGAGGAGGCATCCCTCTTCCAGGGAAAACAGACAATAGTTGGAGAATATACAGAGCAGACACAATAGCAGTAGTAATAATAAAATTACAAAATAACTAAGGCACATAACTTTTATTATCAAGTAAACATTCAGTGTAATAAGTTAAAGTGTTACAGTGTCTGTGCCAAGAGCTGGTAGGACCTGGACCATAAAGACTGAAAGAGGACAGACTCCATAAAGTCCTACATACATACATTTTTAAAATAGCACACCATGAATCTTTGGAGAATTATTAGTGCGTACCGTATAGGGACACTGTTAATGCTCGACGACCACACCCAATCCATACGCAGCTGGTGGTGTGTTCAATTGTGACACTGCTTTAATGGCATATTAAGGATTTAGTATGTGGACCATTTTATACCAGTATCACTACATGGCAGGATCCATGGTGAAATTCGGTCAGATCTGGTGAGTAGTGGGTACCATACAAGTCTGGTAGATTCCCATATCCATGGGTTAAAGTTTAGGTT